AATTGTTGCCGATGAGATGGGTTTGGGTAAGACATGCCAAGCGGTTGCCGCCATCGCTTGCTTGCTTAGCCGTGACAGAGCCGGTCGGCATTTGGTTATTTGCCCACTTTCTGTGATCGAACATTGGCAGAATGAATTACAGAGGTTAGCGCCGTTCAAAAACTTCTGTTTTGTGATTTTGATTTTTGAATTAGAGAAAGGGATATCCGGTTTTTTGAAAAAACCAATTTCGTTCATGTAAATTGTTGAAAAAATTTTTTGCATAATTTTCAAATTTTTATGTTCAAAAAATTTCGGATTTTTCGAATTTCAGAAATGAATTTTTCTTTTTTTTTAATGATTTATGGATTCGTTTCAGTATCATTTGTAGATTCGCTAAAGATTTCGGAGGTAAATTTTTCCTTTTTTTTCAAAAAATTTATGAATTTGTTTTAGCTTTGTGGGGGAATTGCATATTTTTATGAATGCATTCATTTTAGTAAAATTAAAATTTGTGTTTTATAGATTTGGAATTGGAAAAATTCATTTAGTGAAATATATTGGGAATGCAGATCAGAGAGAAGCAATACGTGAGATGTTAAGAACTGATAAAAAGTGGAATGTCATGCTTACGACATATGAGGTTTTTTTTCTCATATTTTGCTGCCAATTTTATCGGTCAACAAAGCCGTTGGACTTGATTTTTTGTGGGTTTTTTTTCTTTTTTCTTTTTGTGGCAGAGAGATAAGCCTGATTGTTTTTTTTTTTTCATCAGATACTTTCCAGATGCTAATCCGTGAGGAGCAATATTTCAAGCGAATCTGGTCGACAGTGTTTGTGGATGAAGCGCATCGTTTGAAATCAAACAAATCCATTCTACATAAAATTATACATAAAGTTAGTGTACTTTTGAAATAACCTATTTTCAAAACATATATTACAGTAGGAGGTTTATGACTCACAATCTGTAAATCATCAAAAAAAAAAAATTTTTTTTGGATCTCAGGTTTTTTTTATTTGCAAGCTACAGAAATTCTCTTTCATAAATTACAAATTTTTCAAATTAGTTTAGTTTTTCAATTTTTCAATTTAATTATTTTGATAATATTCACTTCATAGCCCGGGAGTCGCCGGCCCACTAATGATCCTAATTAATCATGGACAAAATTCCGGCGCATAGCATCTGCTTCCGTATTTCATATTTGGGCCATCTTCCCTTCAATTCTGTTAGTAAAGTTTTCATTTTGTTTATTTTTGGAGTTCACCTTTTCCATGTAGCTTCACTGAAGCATATTTGTATTATTTGTTCATCATACGGGTTTAGTTTAAAAAAAAAAATTTACAATGCTTTCAAGTTGTGTTTTCTTCCTGGTTTTCGCCGGTGCTCGTTTGAAAGTTTTCTTAAGTTTAATAAATTTTGGAAATAGCAAGATGTATGATAGATGTTTTGTTCGTGCTGGGATTATTGTAAAATCTTAGGATCGAAAATAAGCCATCTGCCTGATTACCACACATCCTGATGGACATTCCGAAGAGCAGTCTTCGTTTCATCCCTTAGCTGTAAACACAGACAGAACAAACTGTGAGGTAACGAGTGACAAAGAATTCTCGTACCCACCAATGTATGTAATCAACATTTTCCAAACATTAGGACCTCACTAATGAGAAATTAAGGCACATTTATTTCTAATTTTGTTATGATTAACGCTTTTATCTTGGTGTTTTTTTTTCGTAACGAGAATGAGCAGATTGCTTTGGTTTTTTTAGATGCACGTCGAATTCACTGTACTTTTGACTGGAACACCTGTTCAGAACAACCTTAACGAGCTCTACTCACTTTTATCAGTAATTGATAGCAAAATTTTTCCACTGGAGGGCGAAGATCAGTTTATTGCGAAGTATCGGAATACTGCCGATCGGAAAGGTTTCTGAATTTGAAAATTTCATCGATTCTTGAAAAAATCGATTTCCTTTTTGTTCTACGCTTCGTCTGAACAAGGATGGCTCTTGGAATTGATCCCAGGGATGGTACTGTATCAAAAGTAGTATCATTTTGCTTAAAATTGTTGGTTGCTCAGTACAAACGCATTTG